TGAAATTTATTTCGTTATATTGAAATATGGATTAATTTTTTTTTATTTCCATAAAGAGACATTTTAAAACTTAAAATTAATTTCTTTAAAAATACGCTTGTAATTATCGACCACACTGGAAAAATTATTTAGTAAAATCTACTAAATGTTTAGTAACAGTTACTCAATGTAGTTGAGTGAACTACGTTGAGTAAGATTTGTACATAGATTTGAGTAAAATTTACTTAACTTCTTAAGTAGAATTTTTACAAATACTTGAGTTGAATTTTTTGGCCTTGTGTCACACTATACCATACAAGGGTTTTGTATATTTATACGTTCGAAAGCTAAAAAAAATAAACCCTGAGTACTGTTAATTAAATTCAAAATTTTATAATTTCCAGGACAGATATGTAATGTCATTGTAAGTTACACTGCAAATGCAAATAAGTAACGATAGAATTAATTTATGTTTATCGACAACAATTAAATATTGGAAATGGCTCGGTCTACGCTCATATTAAAATCATGTGAATAAATGATTTATACGTGTAACTACAAGAATATGATTTATAATTATTAAGCACATTATCGTCAACTACACTAAAAGTAATCGTTTCTATGCTTACAGTATTCTCAAACATCAGCAGAGGTTATAATGCTCATAAAAAGCTTGGATCACTTACCTTCAAAAATAGCATTAAAAATTCAAGCTTCCATTATCTTAGCATGTCTTTTACAAAACTTTGTTCATCAAATTTCACGCTCATGCAAACTTCGCTGACTGCAGACAACGTATCATGTACAAACAAGTATAGTTACATTTTAACGATTACCAAACTACTTTCGTGAATTTTACTTAACGTTGGTGTCAGTGTCAGTAAAATTTACTCAACTAGACTGAGCAAAACTGGCTTAACAACTTGATTAATTTGTATTCAATAGCAATTTTACTAGGATTTACTCAACTAGGTTAAGTAAATCTTACTAAATAATTTTCCCACCGCGGTGGTTAAAAAAGTGTTTGCATCACTATACGCTTTATGTAATCCTTTATTTTTTTACAGACTCTACTACAAAAACTACCTTAAAACTTTAATGCAAAAATCAAACAAGACTATAAAACTTTTTGATAAAAATCATTTTATTCTATCCAATTTGAAAATAATATTTGTAAAGGTTCCACGTTCATAGGAATGTATGCCATCCAATCGGACAATGACCCGTTCCCCAACATGACGTCTGTACTAATATAATTTTTCTGGTTACAATTTATTACGCAAGTATCAAGTAAAGTTTAGAAAAATGCTACCACTTGTACAATAACACATCATAAAAGCTTAGAATGATTATTCAGTAACATTGGCATTGGTGTAAAATAGAACAATGTGTACGATAGAAATTAAGTGATATCAACTGTTAGACATGAAAAAAAAGTAATATTCGCAGACCTGACAACGAAAAAAAAAAATAAAATAAAATAACAGTAGTATATTTCCAGTAGCGATGATGTGATAAATTATCAATTATTCATCTTCCATGGTGCTTGGCACAGTAGACAAGGTGCACTTTTTGACTATCCCTCCTCGAAAATCTTTTCTTGCAAAGGACACACTCGAAGGGTTTTTCACCCGTGTGTACCCGCATGTGCTTCGTCCGGTCGCTTTTCTGAGCAAAAGCTTGTGGACAAACCGAGCACTTGTGGGGCTTCTCCCCAGTATGGGTCCTTCCGTGGCTTGCCAGATGACTACTTTGGCTGAACTCCCGTGAACACACCATACACTTGTGGGGCTTCTCCCCAGTATGGGTCCTCATATGCCTCACGAGACTACCTGCAGTACCAAATGCTTGTGGACAAACTGAGCACTTGTGGGGCCGTTCTACGGTGTGGGTGCCCATGTGGTTCGTCAAGTGGGACTTTAGTCTGAAACTTTGCATGCAAACCCAGCACTTGTGGGGCTTCTCCCCTGTATGGATCCTCACGTGTCTCGTGAGATCGCTTTTCTGGCTGAACCCTCGCTGACACTCCGAGCACTGGAAGGGCTTCTCCCCAGTGTGGAACCTCGCGTGGGTTTTCACCTGGTTCGAGGACGCAAAATATTTTTCGCACACGTCGCAACGATGGGACCTTTTCCGCCGTTGTGGATTCTGCGAGCAACCACTGTCCATCTTATTTTACTGGGATCCGTATATGATTGACGTCCAAATTAGTTCAAATGGGGTTTCCACGCTGCAGGAGAACAAACGAATGTTGTTAGCTATACTATCCATGGAATACGCTGGTGGTATTTCGAAATACTACTTGTTACTTCACTTCATTTCGAGTGAATGTAAAATATGGTGGATAAATGGCAAATATTTTCGTTTCCTCCAAATACTCACCTTCTAATAGCAGTGGGAGGTTGTAAAGTAGTTATCCCTAATAAATTGTCTTCGTTATTGTTTATCGAATAGCCGATATGATGTACCAACTGTATGGAACTCGATTCGTGTAACAAAAAATATGTTAATATTACGTATTTGGCACTAATTAATTATCAACTATCATTACAGAATTTTCAACTAGAAGTGCTCTGAATTTAAAAAAGTAACTACGTCGTGCTTTTCGAATGTCGCCTCGTTGTCAATAGGCCAGAGATACAAACTAGATATCGTTAATAGTGTAATAATAGATATTATTTTTTCTACGCCTTAAAACTGTTTTATCGCCGATGGAATGTTCTCGAAATGCTCCGAAAACGTTCAAAAATTTATGTCCGAAGGAAACTTTTATAGAAATGAAAATTATTAAACCATCAGAGACATTCGAATGTTCATATAAAATTTTGTTAGCATGTGAATCTTTTGTTCTATTTAAAAAAGTATACGAAATAATATCGATTGGTGGAAAAATACATTGTGTAATTTCATAAAATGATTGTGGTGCTTGGATATTATAGAATATTATACAAATTATTATGTAGGTAATAAGTAGCTAATTTCATGATATATCTATATTATTTACAGAGTTATAGGCGTTTAAAGTTTTAGCTTTTTTTTTAACTATAAATAACGAATTTTGGAGAGTACCTTGCTTTGTAGAGCTTTGTCATGATGTAGTAGGTTGTTTAGAAAGCTATTTAAATCGAATAAATGATTAACAAAGCGTTGGCTATTGTCTAGCTTACAGAAAATGAAAAAAAAATAATTTATGATTTTTGTTGATTCGAAAACAGCTAATTTCGCAATATCTGCATTATTCACGGAGACATGGGCTACAGTAGACTATCTAAGTATTATTTCCAGTATTAAACTAATTGTTCAGGCTTTAGTAAGTGTCTAGTATAAATAGTAAAAAAAATATTTCTAATAATTTTTATGCTTGCAAATTTTTTGTATTATTTACATCTTATTTTGCGATATTTCTATTATTTACGGAGATACAGGCATTTAAAGTTTTGGCATTTAAGCGGCACCATGGCATTGTACACGTCCAGAGTGTTATAGTAGACTATCTGAATGATTATTCTAAATATTAAAATAATTTTTTAATCGTTGGCCACGGCCTACTATATGCAATTAAAAAAATTATTTTTCTTTATTTTAATGATTTAAAATCTTTGCCTATGGCGCTGTTTATTTGCGGGGATACGTTTGAAGTTTGTGGTCTAGAATTTAAGTTTTAAAAGTCACAATTGCCTTAAATTTTTTCGAATATTAAAGTGAAAACTTGGTGTAATTTGCNTAAGTAGGTATTTATTTAGGTATTCATTAAAAAAAAAAAAAAAAAAAAGGAAAAAAAAAAAAAAAAAAAAAAAAAAACAACCCCCTCATCGACATACGGCGATATAAAACACAAAGCCCGTATTCAAGCCGTCAAACCCTTTTATTTCTCACAGAGCACCACCACGTCGAGGCACACGGTGTAATCGCAGAGCAATTGCGGAACGCCGAAAAGGAAACGAAGCGAAAAAAAAAAAGAAAAAAAAAAAAAGATAGACAACCCACTAATGCCGAAGCTGAGTTTCATAAAAGGTAGACTTGATGATCCATTGTCAGTGCAGCTGTGTATGTACGTGCTTTGTCAAACATACAGGGTGAAGTTTTTTTTCCTCAAAAAGTAGCGTACATCTTTTTGTTTGAAATACCTCGATTTTTCCTCATTGAGAAATATAGAAAAACCCGCATAATTAACTCATTAAAGCCTCCGTACGTGGGAAGCATAGCATCAATTATACCCACGTAAGTAAGTACGGTGTGTTTTACTCTCGATTTCGCTGTAACTGCGGAAATACAACTCTACGATGTAATACACTGATTGCCCGCAAGTTGTTGTTTCATTAAAAAAAAAAAAATCAGTAATGTGACCAAATTATACACACAATTATGGCGTTGAAGCGTTGATTTTTTTTGTTACATAATTATAATTTTTCTTTCCACCAAACTGTTAACAAGTGCATCGTGAGGCTGGAGCAATACTCGTATAGGAGTCAAACCTCGTGTTCACGGATTCCTCGTTTCTTTCCGAAAAAAAAAAAAAAAAAAAAAAAAAAAAAAAAAAAAAAAAAAAAAAAAAAA